TTGTAACCGACTTGAGTGGGCAAATGCCCACATTCGATGGCGTCTGGCACTTTGGAGAGGTGTTCTCCTCACGGATGAATCCCTGATTTCACTGTACAGGGCAGATGGCAGAAAGCGTGTATGGCGTCGTGTGGGTGAGTGGTTTGCTGATGTCAACGTTGTGGATCGAGTGGCCCATGGTAGCGGTGGGGTTATGGTATGGGCAGGCATATGTTATGGACAACGAACACAGGTACATTTTATTGATGGCATTTTGAATGTATGTGTATGTGAAACTGCACATTTTAGAGTGGCCTTTTATTGTGGCCAGCCTAAGGCACACCTGGGCAATAATCATGCTGTCTAATCAGCATCTTGATATGCCACACCTGTGAGGGGGATGGATTATCTCGGCAAAGGAGAAGTGCTCACTAACACAGATTTAGACAGATTTGTGAACAATATTTGAGAGAAATAGGCCTTTTGTGTACATAGAAAAAGTCTTAGATCTTTGAGTTCAGCTCATGAAAAATGGGGGCAAAAACAAAAGTGTTGTGTTTATAATTTTGTTCAGTGTATATATATATAGTTTGGGATCAGAACGATTGTTAATGTTTTTTACAGGAGTTTTTTATGCTCATCAAGGCTGCATTTATTTGATCAAAAATACATGAAAAAATTTAATATTGTGAAATATTATGATGTAAAATAATGTTTTTCTATTTTAATATACATTAAAATCGAATTTATTGCTGTGATGCAAAGCTGAATTTTCAGCATCATTACTCCAGTCTTCAGTGTCACGTGATCCTTCAGAAATCATTCTAATATGCTGATTTATTATCAGTGCTGGAAACTGTTGTGCTGCTTAATATTTTTTTGGAATCCGTGATACTTTTTTTCAGGATTCTTTGATGAATAAAAAGTTAAAAAGAAGAGCATTTATTTAAACAATATACACTACAGTTCAAAAGTTTGGGGTCAGTAAATTTCTTTTTTTATTTTTTGAAAGAAATTAAAACCTTTATTCAGCAAGGATGTGTTAAATTGTTAAGAAGTGATAGCAAAGATTTATATTTTGAATAAATGCTGTTCTTTTAAACTTTTTATTAATCAAAGAATCCTGAAAAAATGTTTCCAAAAAAATATTTAGCAGCACAACTGTTGCCAACATTGATCCTTCTAATAATAATTCAGTATATTATAATGATTTCTGAAGGATCATGTGACACATACTGGAGTAATGAGTGATGGAAAATCAGCTTTGCATCACAGAAATAAATTATATTTTAAAGGATATTAAAATAGAAACCATTATTTTATATTGTAATAACATTTTGCAAGATTACTGTTTTTTTCTGTATTTTTGATCAAATAAATGCAGCCTTTATGAGCAAGAGACTTAATTCTTTAAACAACATTACAAGTCTTACTGATCCCAAACTTTTCACCGGTAGTGTTTATATGTGTTTGTATATATATATATATATATATATATATATATATATATATTTGTTTCACTTCTGTTTCAGTTTTTATAACCATTTCTTACTATGTTTAAGTAAGTTGTTGTTTAGCTTAAACCAGCATCCCAGCGTCAAAACATACCTAACCAGCATATGCTGGTTTTCATACTGTTTATTTTTAATATCCTTATTCCTGTTGCATTGTATGTATTGGTAGGCTATACTGTCAAAACTTAATTAGGACAGTCTTCTCATGCGTTGTGTGTTTGTGTGGAAGCTCACAGTTGCCGAAATTCAGAGGGAATATTATATTATTTAAAAGTTTCAGGTAACGTTAAAGTAGTGTAACGTTACACATTATTGGGTGAATCGGTCTGGTATAAACTAAAAGAAGGGAAAAAAACGTTTTGTCATCCTGAAAAATAAACATGTGAGGTAGGTAGCAATATCATACTAACGTTACTGTTTAAAAATAATAAAACTAATTTTTGTTTAATTTCAAGGACTTTCTAGCTGAAGGCGGCTGAAGCATAGCACTTACTGCTTTCACTTAAAGTAACATAATAATACATATTTTTGCCATTAATATGTATCTTAAGTGGCAATCATTTATAAAAGTAAGGTAGGCTACACGAGGGCGGCGTGCTTCACTGAGAGTACAGCACGTGCTCACACTAATAACCCAAGGTTAGCTGGGATTGAATGGAGGAACCGAATCACTCTGATTTAACTTTCGACTCGGTCCACGAGTCGGACATAATCTCCTTTCTAGCGCACATTTGAGATCAAGGGCAGGAAGATTTAACCTCTTTTCCTCAGGGAAAGTTATCTAATGTCTTTAAAAAAAATGTATATAAGCAATGTAGCGCACGAGTCGTGTAGACCACGACTTTATAATATTTTTATGGCGTTATTGTGTCCATTCAATGTCCAAAAGGGGGATAAGTTTTATAATTTTTGTCCCACAGAAGCAAGCAAGCCATACGGAACAATATGGGTGAGTAAATTACAGCATTTGTATTCCTCGTTTTATAAATGCGCAGAAATAGGGTCCTCAGCAGTAACATAACACCTATTCATTGGGTCCCGCAGTGTTTGAGAGAGAGACAGGACTGTACACGCACTGCACTGCCCTCCCTCAACTCAACACACACACACACACACACACACACACACACAGTGCACTGCCCTCTCTGAACTCACACACACACACACACACACACACACACAGGGCACACCCCCCTCTGAGAACTCACACACACACACACACACACACACACACAGGGCACACCCCCCTCTGAGAACTCACACACACACACACACACACACACACACAGTGCACTGCCAGAGACGGAGAGAGAAGGTGCCCACCGAGCTGCGTATCTTCCTATTACTGTGCATCACACACACAGAGAAACGGGAACTACTTTCTGTGTACTGGGTCTCTCCAGATGTCCGTGACTAACCCCACAGCAAGCGCTCCGTGGACGTTTTGACCGGCGGTAACAGTGTTGAGTGTGCGGCACAGGTAAAGATGGCGAGGGGACCGGTGCTGGTGTTTCTGTCGCTGCTGCTCACTCAAGCTTTAACGGCGCAGGGGTTGCCCATCAACGGCGTGAACGGATTCAGTCTGCACCCACCGTATTTTAATCTAGCGGAGGGGACTAAAATCACGGCCACGGCAACCTGCGGAGTGGACGAGAGCCAGCAGCCTATACAAGACCTCTACTGCAAACTGGTCGGGGGGCCCGTGTCGGGGGACCCAAGCCAGACTATTCAGGTAAAGATGTGGGAAATACTTACTTTTCTAAGGTTTACATTACTAAAAATGGATAAAAGCACATTTTGATGTTAGTTTGTTTTAGTTATAGCTAATATTGGACTCTACTTGACTTTGTAAAAAACACTTTTTATCGTTTTTACAGCTACATAACAGATGCTACCATAGTGCTGAATTACCATATGTGACCCTGGAGCACACAAAACCAGTCTTAAGTAGCACGGGTGTTTTTGTAGCAATAGCCAACAATACATTGTATGGGTCAAAATGATCAATTTTTCTTTTATGCCAAAAATCATTAGGATATTAAGTAAAGATGATGTTCCATGAAGATATTTTGTAAATTTCCTAGCGTACATATATAGAAACTTATTTTTTGATTAGTAATATGCATTGCTAACAACTTCATGGGGATTTAAAGGCGATTTTCTCAATATTTCGATTTTTTTTTTTTGCACCCTCAGATTCTAGATTTTCAAATAGTTGTATCTCGGCCAAATATTGTCATATCCTAACAAACCATACATCAATGGAAAGCTTATTTATTCAAGTATAAATTTTAAATATCTCAATTAAAAATACCCTTATGACTGGTTTTGTGGTCCAGGGTCACATATTAGTTTACTTGGTATTCCAACTGTCACAAATACACATCCAAAAGATTTATTACCTTTTTTTATCCTATAGGACTTATTAGTACCCTGTCCAAAAACATTTTTGTTCGGAAAGTCAGGGCAGGGCTTTGGGGCTGCGGAACGGTGCAATATCTTGATCTTTTTTTGAAAGCACCTGCTTAAGGTGAAAAGGCCAGAGACCCCTATAAAGCGCTATGGTTCCTCATAAGAGACCCTCACGGAAGCTTCATAAGCAGCAGGCTTAGGAGACTCGACTTAGCTTGTTGGCGAGTGAGTGAAACGTTTAAACATTGTAAAGAGTAAAACGCAACCCCCGTGTAGCACTGCTACTGGGATTTTCCCTGAGGAATGTGTGGCATTTCATATAAGACCTTGAGGGAGCCACACACGCACACAGATTTACACCATACTTCAAAGAATATGTTAATAAAATGTTGCGACCTGATCAATTGTTGCAGGCACCTCCTGTGGTTTATCTTCTCAAACTACACCACATGCCTGCAGTCCATTTTTACTGCGCTTTAACTAAGTCACAATCATTTTATACTCATCAGTATCCAAATTTTGCTTATCCATAGTTATACTATAACCATAGATTCTGTTATTATTTTATGCAGTATAAAACAGTGATGTGCACTTGTTTAGGGTGTTATTTCTACCATTCTAAAGAAAAATGCTAAATGTAGACAGAATGATTCAGTTATTTTAAATATTAATTTAGATGTGTATGATGTGCTACAGTAAAACTAGAGAAAACAAAGATTTTTGGAAGCACCGTTTAAAGGAGATCCCGTATTAATTTATGATTATTTTACAGTAATAGCAGCAACTATAGTAACCATGGTAATGTTGCAAGGCTAAATTAATTGCTAGTCAAAGGAAATCTTATCTCATCAATCTCTGAAGCCTTCACACATGGGTGGTCTTAACACAATTTGGTGAATTTCTGATTAATTTCACTCCTGTTAGTTCATTTATACTGTTATAAATGAATCAATTTGCCTAGCCAAGTATAAATAGCTATAAATAATTATAAAAATGGGTTTGGGTTGCCAGAAGTTGGATAATGAAGGGAGTGAATTCCTTGGTTTCTTCCGATGTTTCACTAAAATGTCCTGCAGAGTAAACCCCTACAAATCCAGCTAAGCAACAAGTGTATAAAACTATTTGCTGATCACCGTTCCAGAGGATTACTGCATGGTATTTATGTAGCAAAATTAAGTTAGATTTTTTCAGTCACAGTTTCTACAACTCAGCTAGATTAGATAGATTGTCCTACAGTCTGTATTATCAGAAATAAACAGATAAAAGGTGTAGGAAATAAAGGGGGGAATTGCATCTGTAAATATTCATTTATTTCCACATGCTTTCTGCAGTCACTAAAAGAATTATGCAAATTTGAATTTCAGTTTCTAACTTTGCAGATTACTTTGTGCAAGTACCGGCTCTTTAAAATGCTTTAAGTGTTCAGTTATAACTCTTTACTTTATTATTCTATCATAATTTGATGAATTATTGTAGTCATGATTGATAGAAAATGTCCACACATCTTAACTGTGCAATTTATTACGAAAGGAACTTAATTTACAGTTTAATTTCATTTCCTGTGTTATCAGGGCCAGTACTGTGACATCTGCACCTCAGAAGACACTAACAAAGCGCATCCCATCAACAACGCCATCGATGGCACCGAGCGATGGTGGCAAAGCCCTCCTCTCTCCCGCAGTGCAAAATACAACGAGGTCAACGTCACTCTGGACTTAGGACAGGTATGTTACTGATGCATTCCTTACATTTGTCTCTCTCTATCACAACCCCACCCACATGCACATATCGTGTTCAGATTATTCAGCGTACAGTAGAGTCATCTGATACTCGGCTACAGCAGGCGCTTTTGTGGATTGCACATGAGTGTAGAATTTCAAGGGTGGACCCTAAATTGAATCTCATCCATTCATGCTCGAGTCTGGAGTATCTAGAGGTGTGTTTTTTGCTCTGAACACTTCACGTCTTGGTCTTGTGTATTAAAGGTTGTTGTTTGTGAATAGCAGAACAGCCAGGGGCCATTTAAGATTATTACTTTCTAAACTGTCATGGTAAATAAACATTACTCATGCTCTCCCCCAGCATTCCTAGTGGCTTCTACATAAAGAGTCAGCACTGCTGCATATAGCTTATATGCTGCCCAAATGAGAAAGAGAGGAAGGGAAGCAATTTACTGCCAACTAAAGTTTCTCTATTGAGTTCCAGGCTCTTTAGACACAGTCTAGCCTCATGTCTCAAGAAGTGGTTTGGCTGGATTTAATGGGAAGTAATTAGCGATCAAGCTACAAGGCATTACTATGAGAAGCTTGGATCACATCTTATTTTATGACTATATTCCAAATGACTGTATTTTTGTTAAGAGATGTATTACCTTGACTCACAAAGAATCTGCACACAAGTTATAAGGATTCCCTATTCAATATTCATTTATTACATATTATTACAGCTGCATTTAATCCATGTTTGAATCCATTTTACAAACTTTCCATGAAACTCGATGTAGAAATTGGGGAAACTTCTACACATTCTGTCTGAGACTACTTAAACGTTAACACAAAAGTGATACAAGAATAAAAAAAATATTGTTTAGACACTACCGTTGTGTAAGTTTGGAGATTTGTAAATTTTTCTCTTATGCTCTCCAAAGCTGCATTATTTTAGCAAAAATAAAGTAATAACAGTAATACAGTATTGTCAACTATTATTGCAATTTAAAATAACTGTTTTCTATTTGAATATATTTTAAATGCTAAGTTATTCCTGTGATGCAAAGCTGAATTTTCAGCATATCATTACTCCAGTCTTCAGTGTCACATGATCCTTCAGAAATCATTCTAATGTGCTGATTTGCTGCTCAAGAAACATTTCTTATTGTTATCAATGTTGAAAACAGTTGTGCTGCTTCATTTTTTCCCAGGATTCTTTGGTGAATAGAAAGTTAAATATACCAATCTGAAATAGCAATCTTTAACAGCATTATAAATGCATTTACTATCACTTTTATTTTCATTCAATTAAATGCATCCTTGCTGAATAAAAATATACATTTATTTCATAAAAAAAAATCTTACTGACTCTAAACATTTGATCAGGTGAGTATCTGTAATATATGTACAGGGTTCGTACGGTCATGAAAAACCTGGAAAAGTCATGGAATTTTAAAACACCAATTTCCAGGCCTGGAAAAGTTTTGGAAAAATAAATAAACCCAGAAAGTTTTGGAAAAGTCATTGAAATCTATTTCACAGAACTCTGTATAATAGAATTGTGTTTAATCAGGTCCTGAATTTCGGTGCGGGATTGCGCATAGGCTATATCGCATAGTTTTACTAATTCCCGCAGCTTTTGACTTTAAAATGATGGATATTCACACATTTATTCAATAGCCTAAAGCATGTAGGTTTGATGAGTAAATAATCAAACCTACAGACTGAGTCCAGTCGCGCTCCAGAGGCGGTGCGCAGTCACATCCAAAGTGCGCTCGTGGGTATATGAGTATTGAGCTTGCTACCAAATAAGCTCAGCAGAACCCTGCACGGGCCTCAAACATATGCCCTAGTCCGGCCCTTATCCGACAGATGATCAGAATTACTGTCCGAGTCCGACTGGAGCCCATGTCTTTTTTCTCTTTGTCTCTTCCCCAATTACACAGCTGCTGTTGTAGCCATTAAAATAGTTCCGTTTCGTTTTTAATGGCAAAAGTGGTTTTATATGTTTTCGTTTCTTTATTGCGTTAATTTAGACATATGTTTGGAAAATGTTTTTGTTTGTTAAATTCAAGTTTAAAAAAAATAAAAAACGTTGTGCTTTTTTAGAAAACAAACAGGATACGCTTTCTGCTGTCTCGGTCTCGAGCAGGAGCGCTTCACAAAAATGAACCGAAACCCTGCAAATATTCCATCTCCCCTGGAGCATTCATCATGGTAATTACTTGCTGGCGTTTTGCGGCAAGCTTTGTGTGCGCTTTAACATGGGACTCTTCCAGCACTCGCTGCTGCTGGACACTAAACACCGTCAAGTGAACAGATTTTTATTCTTATTGTAAAATAATGGAACATTTAGGTCATGAATATTGTCTCAAAAGTCATGGAAAAGTCATGGAAATGTATTGGTAAAAATGTGTACGAACCCTGTATGTAGTCTTGTCGCTCAGATTAGTATTGCTGTATGTATAACCTGGCTATGTAGTTTTGGTCTCATTCACATGGCTGTAATATATGACTAAGCCCTGTACAACCTACTTTCTTTTCTCTCTCCCTCCCCCTCTCTCTCTCTCTGAAATGGAGGCAGAGAGCAGTGACTGGCTTTGTACTTCTTTGGCTTTGAGTTCTTTTATGTAGCTGGTGTTTTTTCAGTGCCACTTAAACCAGCTTGTTAAAAAGCAATACATGAGCTTTCATACATGCATCACTGAGCAGAGAGAGTGAGAGAGATGTGCTACATCTGTGACCCTGGACCACAGAACCAGTCTTAAGTCACTTGGGTATATTTTTGGCAATAGCCAAAAAATCATTAGGATATTAAGTAAAGATCATGTTCCGTGAAGATATTTTGTAAGTTTCCTACCGTAAATATATCAAAACTTAATTTTTGATTAGTAATATGCATTGCTAAGAACTTCATTTGGACAACTTTAAAGGCGATTTTCTCAGTATTTAGATTTTTTTGCACCCTCAGATTCCAGAATTTCAAATAGTTGTACCTCAGCCAAATATTGTCCTATCCTAACAAACCATACATCAATCGAAAGCTTATTTATTCATTTTTCGAGAAATTGATCCTTATGACTGGTTTTGTGTTCCAGTGTCACATATATTAATGCCGTCAAATCTTCATCTGTAGAAAATCTGAGTTGCACAGTTGTTTTAGGTGGCTGACAAGGCATTGCTATGTGATCTGAGTGGTTTTTAGCATGTTGCTATGTAGTTACTAATGAACGAATAATGGTTAATAGATGGTTGCTCGGCCCAAGTAGATTTTTCACCCATTATAGTGTGTCTTAAGTTTAAAACAGATGTTAGATATCTTAGAAGAGTATCATTCCACATGGTTTGAAATATCATTCTTGTCAATTCCACAAGCAGAGCGGGATTAGTTAAGCACCAAAAGTTGAATACTGTATAGTTAGGGGTTTGTTCAGAGCTTTAACTGAAGTATGAGGAGCAGTAATAGTGATGCTGCTTTAGAGGCCTCCTCTAACACAGGTATGAGGCTCTTTCTGATCCCTCACTGGAATGTTAGTTACTTAATATCTGTCTCAACCTGTTCAGGGAGAAAACGACCCTCCCCATCACAGCCAAAGTTCATGCCTCGCTTCTCTTGCTCGCTGTCTGTTAAATGACCCCACACACTTTTTGCACATTTTTTCTGCAATATGCAATGGAGTATTAATCAGTGTTTATTAGGGCTGCAACAACTAATCGATAATTATCGATTATGAAAATCATCGACAACGATTCTCATTATCGATTATTCGGGTCTACCCACAGTGCACGTCCAACTTTAGCTGGTTGCGTCAAATTACAGCACTGAATTATGCATGCATCTAAAAATAGTGGAGGAAACAGAATGAGATGCTGCGGGAGAGTTACGTGATCCAAGCTACCCAAAACATGAGAAACCTGAAGCATCAGTGTGATGGCTTGCACTGTCAGGCGCTTTGACAGATGATGCGTGCACGTGCGTCAGGCAGACGGAAAACAGACACAATTAATAATCAGCGCAAAAACATTCATTGTGCTGAAATATCTGTTGTTGAAAGTTAAATTAAGGTTTAAAGGTCAACATGCATTGCGAGTAGTTTATGAGAGTAGGAACTGTAAGGGGATAACAGCGTGTCATTGTCTGAATATAAATATCAGACGCTTCATAACCGCCTATTACAGGATAAAGAAATGACAGGAAGACGTGACTGTGATCAAAGTGAACGTGTTCCTGCAGAACATTACTCTTACCTACTGGTTACAACTGAGTTAGTGATTTTATTAGTCTTCATTATTATTTAAATTTTTAATGCAGAGATTTAAACTATATTCACTATATACAATGCTTAACAAATGTATTAAAACAAATTTCTGTAAGGTTTTTAACAAATTATGGTTTGTGCCACTGCTGCTCTAAACTAACAGTTTAATCATTTTTTAGCTTTCTGTATTGGTTAGTCCTCCAATATGTGTAAGCTCTTTAGTAACAGTAGTAGGCTATTTCTAATGCTATAATATAATTATTGCTGTTATCTATGAAAGAAAGGCAGAGAGCTTTATAGTGTTTTTTTTTCATATACCCAATTACAGTCAAAAAGTACATAAACAATGCCAGCAAGAATGCAAGATGTTATGAAGGGCATAGGAGGCCATTTTTGTTATGTGAATAAATACTATTTAGTTGTTTAAGTTTATTTGCCCAATAAATGACAATAAAAATTTTTTTGACAGATTCCTAAAATTCCTAAAATGTGTTTTCTCTTTATTATGGCAGGTGGTCTAATAAATTGTTAAGCACTGTATGTTTTCATAGCATTCAGTTGACACGTTTGTTTGAAGGACATTAGGCAGAATGTGGAAGTGTTTTTTTCAATAAAATAATTTTTTTAACCCGATTAAGTGAAAAATAATAATCGATTATCAAAATAATCGTTAGTTGTAGCCCTAGTGTTTATGCAGGTTTTTTTTCTAACAGATTCGTTCATGTTAACAAGCTTACTTTAAAGCTACTGAAAAAGTTA